AGAGAGAGAGAGAGAGAGAGAGAGAGAGAGAGAGAGAGAGAGAGAGCCTGTGATCAGACAGGATCATCAAATGTATGCAGAGAGAGATATAATAAAGATACTCAAGCTTGAACTATACAAAAATAAACGAGGTACAATGAAATTTACGAATACGATTTCAATGCTCGTTACTTGAAACCAACGGTGAAGTATGATTTAGTTCGTTGTTGCGTAAAACGGCGAACAATTACAATTCCAAGCGTTGCGCGGGATAACCATAAATCCGACTATAAAGTTATCTGCGGCAAGATTTATAGCTATTTCTCTGACATATTGTGTGTTACGAGAAAGGTGAAAAGATCGCGAAACTATATATATATATATATATATATATATGTACGTACATTTATATTATATATCGCCGCGAGAGATATTCGGAGCGCGACGGAGACTGGCGTCCTAGTTACGTGGCCCAACATTATCGATCTACCCATCCGGTATACATGCCGAACCTTGTCGTTGACGAAGCCCCCGGTGTGTGACTCAGGGGAGGATATACTATGTGTACATACGCAGAAACGTGCCTCCCATATGTGCATATGTACACACGCGAGATGCGCTCGCAGCATTTCCTCCCACTCGAGAATTCAATACCATACCGGCGCGGCGAGCCGCTCGATAGTTGGATACTGGACGACTATGTTTTCGAGAGGAAAAAGTCTCGTGCTATCTCTTGCAAAGCTAACGATGGGTAGCTCTCGGCTCTCGGCACGCACGATTTACACACGCTGCGTACAGTCGGAAATATAATGTACAATAAAAACGAATGTATATGCACGAGGATGCGAGTATCATTAAATGCGAGTATCATAAATGCGCGACGTCGCCATACGTGCAATTATGCGAATTGTGTAAAATCATGCGGCGAGGTATAGACATTCGGATGTAGACGCGGAACGAGTTTATTTTCTCAATTTCGAGTTGTGTCGGAGTTGAGTTCCTTCGCGGAAACCTCACAAGGAAAGATGATCGAATATGAGCGAGAAATGTCAAGCTATGCTGTTAGGTTGCGAAACAGTGAATGTGTTTGAAACGAAATTTACGTCGTTATCGAAACTCGGAGAACGGCAATTACCTGAATGAGACACGTCGAATGGCGAACTGCGGCATGATGCGCGATTTACCATTTGCGTACAGGAATTTGCGCGGCGTCGCGCAAACGCGTTTATTAACGTTTGGCCGCCACGGCTGCGGGCGATGGTCTGAAGTAGACAAGTGGCTCGCGATAGACCTATTATGTCCCCCTTAAGTACAGCTGCGAGTAGACGCACGCACGTTCGCCAAGGTGTGGACGTACACACGCATTCGAGATGCGTCTTCGCGCGAGGCATAAATTCACTCTCGATGAACCCGCCTGATCGACCCCCTTCAGGAAGGTACAATTATAGTGGATCCTTCGTACTTCGTCACGAACGCAAATCATCCAGCAGCAGCACGGAGTAAACAAACCAGTAATATAAGATCTGTGTTCCCGGAAAAACGGATTTGCTCGAGTATCTAAAAATTTAGCGGGGTACAGATTTGAAAATAATCTTGGGCCATTAAAATAATTATGTTTAAGTATAACAGAATGCTTGATGATGAGAAGAAGTGCTGGAAAAAGTTTCGACGTTCTAGCGACCAGCTCAAACATCCCATATGTAATTATTTTGATGGTCCAGTAAAATTATTTTCAGATTTGTATCTACAATAGAGTTAAATTTTTTGACACTTCAGCAAAATTGTACTTTTTTCATGTTCGTGCTGCTTACACCTTTTGCATCTAAAACGTCCGCTTTCTGTCTCCTAACGCACAAATATATATTTATCTCGTTTTAATTGCAAAAATTTTTAGGGAATTCAAGCAGAACGGACAGATCTATAATTAAAGCAATTTTTTTAACGTATTGCAATGAATACAGACACGTTTGGAAGAGAAATCTCTGTTAAATTTACGCGCAATTTATGCGATTGTTTACAAAATAAAAACAAAATTAACGTTCCTTCTCTCTCTCTCTCTCTCGCTATTACGAATGCAATTTCTCTCATTTCGTATGCATGTCCTTTTTCCGGCTCACGGTCCTCAGAAAATCCGTTGCTCGCGTATAACGTAAGCGCAGGTTGAAAAGACCAGTTAAAAAATTAACATGCTAATCTACCCCGCTCGTAGGCGTACGAGAGACCAAGTTAACGCGCGGTCGATTGCTCTTGCGAGCTCGTTAATTATCTCCCTGCAAAACTACCGCTAGGAAAATAAAGTGGCTAGCGTGAACGGCACCTTACGTTGGCTAGACACGAGAGACGCTCGGTATATATATATATATATACCGTACGTGTTCCGTCACGGAACGCACCCGTCCTCATGTATTGCGGATACGGAGCTTGTGCAAAGCCAGAGGAATAGAACGCCAGCCAGAGCGTGTCGCATTGTCCGCTGACTCGGTGATACACATTCGTCACTGAGGAACCGTTGCGCGAGAAAAATTCATAAAGGAAACGCACGGCTCGCTGCACCAGCGTAGAACACACAATGGGTATGTTCAATGGATAAAGAGCGTCCGATACGGCACGAACGGACGATGGTCAGATGTTAAGTACTCGTTTCGCGGTAACGCTACTATGAAACGAGCAGCAGTAATATTTCTACATTAATATATTAATGTAACTACGCGAACGTCTATTTAAACATTAATTTTAATACGCAGTTCAGTCGGTTTTAATCCCGATTTTAATTTCGCCTGAAATACGAGTATACAAATTTAATTTGCAATCTCTCGACATGCGTAAAGCATCAATTTTAATTAAATTGTAGACTCAGCGTTTTCGAGCAAGCACACAAAGCAGGTGAATTGTGGCGATAAAAACTTTCGACAGTAAATATCATATTATTCCGGATTGCACGAGCGGATTTCAGATTGAATAAGTAAAGAAACCGAAAATTACATTTTCGAATTATTTCGGGACAATAAATGAATGTAATCTCTTCATCGGACACGTGATTCGTTCATACCGCCGTCATTCGCGCCGCAAGATATTATTTATTCTTTGTATCACGGGAATACAGAGTGTAATATCTTTTTAGATACGTTCGTGTTTTGTAACCAGAATGCGAGTGAACGAAATACATTATAGAAGTGCCTGCGGCGAGTTAAGCTTCTCGAGGGACCCACGGAAATACGAGGTACTGCGACACGCTTCCATCTCTTATTGAACTCTATAAAAGCCTTCGGACGAGTACCGAATTTCGTAGAGAGCACGAAATGCTTTTGTCGCGTTTTTTGTAGCGCGGAAAATTGTCGCGGGGAGAATAAAATTCTTTATTAAAGAACTGCGACGTATAAATTCCATTCTCTCGCGACGTGACGCGCTTCGTCATTTTCCATTCCATTAATACGAAAATCCTATCTATATCCTATTAATACGAGAAATGTTTTTCACGAAACGTAGCGAATCAATTTTCTTTATTATAATTAATAGGATTTCGAATTCAGCGCTACGAAACAATCACAAACGACCACGCGAGTACAAACGATAAAGAATCTCTCGGCGCACAGGCACACTCACTCACTCACGCAGCGCAACGTCGTCATCATCGTCTCTTTGTCCGCGACAATGCACACCTAAAGCGACGACTTACCACGTGAGCTCTATGATGCTGATGGTGCATAGTGTGATGATGATGGTGCCTCTTCTCCTTGGTGTGATGCTTGGCATGGTGCTTGCTGCCTCGGTGCGGAGGATAAGTGTGGTAAATCATGTTGACGCCGTAGCAAGGTGGCTGGCGTCACCTGACCTCGACAATGCCGCACTTGGAGACACTCATCTGCTGGCCGCCGCCCTGATGATGACCAGTCGTCAGGCCGGCCGCGCAATTCCCCGGCGTCTTTCTCGACACCGACGTCGCCGTCTCGGCAGGCGACTTTTCGTTGTCGTTCCGCGTTGGATCTTCCAAAGTCATATCACCCTCGTCGTCAATATTTACGGTGAACGCGACGCGATGATGAGGCACCAGCTTGACAGTGGTACCGATCGGCGTCACCGTAGTCGCCGGATCGAGCTTCACCAGGGCGGCTTGTAATTCTAGAGCGTCCATCTTCGCAAGAATACACAACGCTCTCCTCACAACGATCTCACCGAACTGAAATTACCTCTCGTTATCACTCGGTCTTATTGATCGTTCCAAAAGAAGTCTTAGTAACAAATTCTCTCTCTCTCTCTCTCTCTCTCTCTAAGGTGACATTTCCACGATTTCTCCGGGTTTCGTAGGACAAACTGAAAGCTCCATCTGATGGAGTAATTGGTCCAATGTAAATTGATCGAAGATATTTCTATCTCGCCATTGAAATCTTCGACGAGTCAGACCTCCTTCCGTAGAGTTTCACTCGAGGACGTCGTGAATAATTTTGATTTATCGAGATTCTTCAGCGTCGTATCACATCGAACCATCACACACGAATGTTCGCCGTCTTCGTGCGATAAAGAAGGCCGCTGATCGCGTCTTGATGTGCACTCAAAGATATTTCAGACTACGTAATAATAATTTATTAAAGGTCTTCTGCAGTTTTCTCATGAATTATCTACACATTTTAGAATTGTCCCCCCAAAATTATTGGTGTGTTAGAATTAGAAAATATTTGGAATAATTTCTAAAGTACCCTTCTGAAATTTTTGAAGATTTATTAATAAAAAAAATATCAAATCAAACTAAAAATCTTATCGTTTATTTTAGTGATTTGATATTTTTGAAAAACATGCGCTACGCAGAGAGATAATCAGTTTCGAGAACATCTTACGAAAAACAAAAAAGCAAAGTTCTCGCGATCGACTCGATTGTGCATCGATCACGCACGCACGTCGGTCTTTACGTGTTACTAATTATCGCGTAATATCGACCTGATTACACTTGCGATTTTTTTCCTGCGATGGAAACGTGCAAAGGAAATGGCAGTTTTCTGCCTGGGAAGTGGAGTCGTTATATATTGACGGGGGCAGCTATGCGGCCTCCGTCATGGTCATTATCCGCGGATCACGAGGTCGCGTGACCGTCTTCGTTACATGCTGATAAACGACGGTTCAGTCTGTCGCGTCTACTGCCAGCCACTGCTTGTTTTATTGTGCTAATCCGCTAATCACCGCAAAGATACCACAAATGCAAATTTGCGGCTAGTACACCATTAGACATACTCTAAATACTGCTATTTCACAGGTAGATTTAGGAGACAATCTGATGGCTGAGCTCACTCACAGACCTTCTAATAAGAGTTTAAACATGAAACAGCCAACAGTTTCGATTGGTCTATCATGTTTCAGCAACTTCCGAGAAAGAGAGAGATTTAGGCCACTATTCTGTATTTTTTTTTCACGACAATGTCGGAATCGTAACTGTTGTGCAATTTTTTTATTATGTATAAAACTTGCGCAACGACCTGTTAAAAATTACAGAATAAGGCCGGAGAGAGAGAGAGAGAGAGAGACAAAGATAAGAAAATGATAGAAAGAAATGTCCTTCTCTCTTGCTAAAAATCTCATCGTATCTAGACTTCTATTAAGGAGTCTATAAGCTCACCGATACAAAAAATAAGCAAGAATATTAATCCGCAACTGCACTTTTCATATTCAAAAATTTCCCTTTAAAGAAATTCAGAAGCTCGAATATAGCATCTACGTGTATAGTCCGTATCTTTGTGTGTAAGAATATATATATATATATATATATATCGAGACTCGTTGATCCACTCGCGCGCTAACCTTTCCGATGGAAATATCTCGCAGGCGAGTTCTTGGATTGGTACATGAAAGTAAAATGCGAGTTTACTCCTCGGTATTCGATTTGGTCATCTCCAAAGAATGACGTCAGTGCTGCACAAAGTGTCACTGTCGAGACGGGAAAATATAAACCTGTCCGTTTCGTTTATTGTTATATCTGTATTATTTTCGTTTTATAAACCTGTTTGAATATAGATATGTTTCTTTATATATCGAACTTGAGATTGCTTCCTGAGATCGAAGTTTCAAGTTGCTCCTCGAGATTGAATTTCAGTTATCAAAAATATTAATGATATACATAGATCGAACGGGAGAATGAGGGAAAGAAGCAAGAGAGATAAAGAGAAAGAGAGAGAGAGAGATGCTCTTTTCCTTTACATTATTGCAATTATTAATTGAAATCCTTTCACAACCGAGATATTACAGTTCCCACGTTTCGAAAGCCTGGAGGCTTTCTTTACGCACGTGGGACGTAGCCGATCGATGAAAAAGCTAAAGGGCGGAATAAAGGGGAGTGCATCGGGCTTTGTTTGAATCTGCAGATTCGCGCACGGGGACGGATTTCCTGTTATGAGGCAGCGGCCTCTCATCGCAGCGTGATTCATATCCTGACACGTCTGGCGATGCTCGGCTAGGGGGCAAGAAAATTTGCATACAGCAGTCTAAGAGGTGGACGTCCGTGTATCCGTGTGCCGTTGCTCCTTTTGGGAAAGAGTCGTCTGTAACCCGAGACTCTGAGAGAGACTCGCGCGTATCAGTGGGTGGATCATCTATATGTCGCTCGAGAGAGAGAGAGAGAGAGAGGACCACACGAGGTGTACGGTATCAAAGATATACAGCGGTGTCAAAGAGATGCGGCAATTGCGGAGCTTACGCGTTTCAAAATCCAAAGAGGAAAAGGTCAAACGACCCTTTCTCGGTCATCGAAAATTCGCGCGATAAAATGTATATGTTGTTTTAAAAAATATATTTGCTTTACATATTTTTACAATTTTTTTTTATTTTACCTTCTATTTGAGTCTTGATTGTCCGTTTGATTTTATCTCTAATTTGAAGGTAAACTTTAGACTGGAAATAAACTGAAAAATTAATCATCAAAAATATAGACGAGATTAGTAGAGAGAGAGAGAGAGAGAGAGAGAGAGAGAGAGAGAGAGAGAGAGAGAGAGAGAGACGAAACCCGATTTTCAAACGCGATTCGACCTGACAGTTTTCGCGGTAGAACTGGTTCCGGCTGACGAGCGAAAATCCGAAGAGAAACAAGAGGAAGAAAAAACAAATCCGCCTGGTCGCATTCGTGCATTGAAGCATATTTTGTAAAATCCTTAAAATATTCACGCAAATCTCAAAGCCGCGATTTGCGGAGAGAATTACAAATGCACGCCGCGTAAGATTGGCGGCGCGGTGGAGGCGATTGTCGCCTCGGCGGAAGGGAAAAAAAGTAAACACCCATTTTACAGAGCTTTATCTTACTTTATGCTCGCGCGCGACCGAAAGTCGCAGCCGCAGGTATTCGCGGGAGGAATTTCAAGGGCGCTGCCGCCGAGTCAGCCCGAGTCTCGCCTCTCGAAAGGACGGTCAGTGCACTGTCGAGATCCTTTGTGCAAAATCGGGGGCCAGCGGTACACACCTAAATCACGTTGGCGAGGCATTGAAAGCTATTAGGACGCCATGAACGCCCACGAAACTGCGGGTTCTTCGATGAGAAAAGATCAGCGTCTTGGTTCGCGACGCGCCTACCTGCCGTCATTGTTTCAACGACACGACAGAGTACTTTGCATCCGCCACAGCTTCTATATGTGAAGGGCGACATATTACAGTGTACTTGGTTGTTACGATAGGTACTGCGAGAAACGGTCGACTGACTGGTATCGTCGACCGGCTCATAAAATCGTCGCAATTCTGCAGCATCCAGTCGCAAACAAAGAACTCGAGAGTCGTACGAAACAAGCTTCTTGTTGGGTCTCGCCAAGATTACTTAAAGCTGGTACTTAATACCACTTTACAGCTAGGATCTGAGTGAGGTGACGGTTTTATTGCCGCTGATAAAGTAATGGGTCTAGGTGAAGTTGTACGATAGAGTTATCTACTACTCGAATCTCGTCAGAAGAAACTTTCCGAGCCAAGAGAGTTTGCGACGTGAATATTCGCATCACAGAAAATATATTCGAAACAACACTGTACAAAGTATCTATTAAGATCGTGATACACAACAATTAGGAAATAAACAGTCACGCTAGATTTTTAGTCTTTAAATAATGCATCAATATTATTGCGTTGAAAATGAAATTCGACATGTAGTTTGCAGGATTGGATACGGTATATAAATTCACATCCAATTATTTAAGCACTTAAAGATTCCGACGGATCATTTAGAGCTTTCATTTTCTATTAAGTGTATATTCAAAATTCTGCTTCGGCAGTGTGCCGAATCGTGAGAACTCGTGCGCGACCAAGAAGCGATGACTGGCACATCGTGCGTTTCGCAGAACGGATCTTGAACCGGGCGCTGGACAATGACTCTCGCAGCGTTTAAAACGCCACGACCTCTATATCGTCGTGAGAGAGGTGAAGAAGTGTGAGGACTCACAATAAGAAGAGGAAGAGGAAGAGGAAGAAGAAAAAGAAGAGGCGAAGATGGTAAAGAGAAAGAGAAGAAAGAGACACGGTAGCCTCGTTCGCTCCTCGCAGTCATAATGACAACGTTACTATCCGTTATTATCCTGTAACTAACTCGGCGTCAAGCTACGGATAATCAAAGGGCGTGGAGGCTGCAAGGCGGGTACGCATGCACTCGCGCAAAAATACCGGAAGTTACTCCCAGAGTCCGGGCATCGGTCAGATCATAGATGATAAAGTCGTAGCGGGAGACTTTGCACTTAACGGCGGGAAAACTGTTGGCCGATACCGCCGGGATTCGATCTCGCGTTGCCGTTAATCTCCGGGGAATGTGACGACTCATTGCGAGGATGTGATCCTCCCCATTAGAAGATAATCTAAAGAAGATCAACACGACCCGCTCGCGCGCGCGTTGTCGTGTATTCGATGACGAGTTAAAAAAAAAAACAAAAAACGCGGGCGACATTAAAACAACTAATTACTCCCTTCGGAATTTTATTCTGCATAACAATCAGGTGAAAATTGCGAACGCAATCCGAGAGCTGCGGTCGCACATTTTCGTGACGTGCTCAAAACGGCCATGCGTTTGTACGGCGTGAGTAAAAAAGACAGAAGAAGGGAGAAAATAAAAGGCGGTGCCGTGGAAGCGAGATTACATTGTGGATTTAATTAACGCGGTTTCATTCGTTTTTCAAGCCCCACTAGACC